GCATTTTCACTCAGCTTCAAAGATAATCATTTCATCCTTTTAATCATTTATTTTTTCACTCATTCATTTACTCAGTTTATTTTAAAGTTTTACCCTGTCTGTTTTGGGTGGTACATATGGAACCTTCTTCAAAAGAGATAAATAAAAAATTTAGTTTTGAAAAATAAAGTGGAAATATTTCTTGTCTTAGTTTTACCTGAAATGCTTTCCTAATCATATAAATTTAAAAATAAGTTATAAAAATAGTGCTAGAGAAAAAAGAAACAGCTGCAGTTTCTTCTTGGTGTCTATGACAAAAACAAACAAACAAACAAAAAACAATGCTTGCAGGTTCTTCATGATTTTCTAGCTAATTATTAGGCTTACATGACAAAGAAGGTTCTTTATAAACTCGGAGACATGGTGTTTGCATTCTGTTCATACCCCTGCTATGTGGCTCCATGGAAGCAGGAGCTTAAGGAGGCTTGGTGCTCCTTTAGCCTGCTACAATACTATAGTGTTTTTCAAAGTCGCACCTGCTCTCAGGAAGTGACTTGGGTACTGGCAAAAGTGCTGCTTATTGTTTGTTCCTATGCGGTCCCTGCTGACTTCTTATTGTAATACTGTTAAAAAGTTTTCTTTACTGGAACAAATATATTTCATTTGGATTATGTCATGAATTTCATCTGGAATAATGAGACTTTCAATAGCTTTTGTGTGTCACCTCTTTTTTACATCACTTGTCTGGTGGCACCAAGAATACCTCCTCACTGAAAATAGATCCATTTACAGTCAATAATAGGGTGGTTAGTGTTCGTTTTTCTTGGGAAAATGAAAATGTGCACCTTTTATCCTATTATACTGATCCACCAGCTTCAGATTATCTGATTTTCTAGCTTCTCACTTTCTTTCGTATCTTAATGCTATTATTAACAAGAATTTTGTTGCTAATAGTTTTGAAAAAGAATATGTGTGCTTTTAGCCACTACCGTACTTTTATGGTTTGTCTGATTTAGCTGAACTTTGATAATTATTCCAAATGCTGCTTTATGTGGATTGAATGTGAGGAGCCCTAATGTCCTCCTAGATTTATTTTCAATGTCCTTAATTTTGCAACAAGAGAATGGAGTTGACATTTTAACTATCAGTAACTAGGTGAAAAACACATCTAAGTGTATAGTCTGCAGTTTACATTATATTTTTTGAGTTTATATTCTCTATATAATAAATCTATATTATTCTCTCTCTCTCTCTCTCTCTGGTTTGTTATACCATCCACATGCTAATCGCTCAAAAACACTTACAGCTTTCCTTATAAGCAGATACCTCTTCCCCACTCCTGCCCCACCTCACCCTACCTCTAGACTGAAGCTCATCTATCTCTGACTATTATTTTTAACCACAGCCCACTTTCTCCACCCATCTCATCTTCCCCTAGAATTATACAACTCTAAAAAGGCTAAGATGTAGTGTAGTGTGGAGGTTGAAAGGAGGTATCTCTATGGATATATACATCTATAGAGAGAAAGTTTTTAGTTTTTTACTTTAGGACAATAGTTCTATGAATATCCGTGCATATTTTTTTCATGGCGAAATTTTTTTTAAGTATAATCCAGAGCAGTGTCCTCTTAACATTTGTTTTTGAAAAAATCCCAGATGTTAATAGATGTATTGGTAAACATGTTCATTGGTCAAAAAGTTTGAGAAACATTAAGTTTTTAAAAATTTTACATTAGTATAGAAGTAAATAGAGTTTAATATGCTAATCTGCATTGTGAATCACTTTAAGGATTATTTAGTAAATAGTCATTCCTAAACCTATTTCATTATAGAACCCTTCTCAGATGATTATCAGTTTGAGAAATGCCCTTTAACAGATGGGTAGACATTAGTCCCTGAGTATAGCATAGATATAAGTAATTTTTATCATAACACTGTCATGAAGAAAAATTTAAATTGTGTTATTCTAAATAATAGGAAAGCAGAGAATTTGGTTATATTTTAGAAAACTTTATTAAAATTATATAGAGAGGAAAAAATCCTCAACTATCTAGGTATTATATACATCGACTTATTCATTGTAAGTCGATGATAAAAGTCTTGTTCTAAAATGGAAATTTAGTTTTTTCTTTATACTGTTATTAGGATTTAGGAGAAATCTGTATTTCTTAAATATTATAGAGCTCATCCCATATAAAGCAACAATCATTATTTCAGATACTTTATAGCAATGATTGGTGGCCAGCTAAATATAGTTGCCTGTGTGTAAACATGTATGTCCAAAATTTCTTGAAGCAAAACAGTTCCATACTGATAAAAACAAACAAAAAACAACAAATAAATAAAGCCCAGATTAGTTTAGAAGGCGAGGGAGAACCTCTGGATTGATTGTATCCAGATAAGATTTTTTGGAGACGTGACTGAGGAGGGCAGTAAACAGAAACTTGAGAGAAGGAAAAGAGATTAATTTAGTGAAGGCGATTTCTGCTGAGAGAAACTCTCTCCTAAGCTGCTTAACAGTGAAGTCTAAAGAACAGGAAAATAGATATGCTTAGCTAAATAGAAATCATGAGCTAAGTTGTGATGATTAGAACGCTAGTCCTGTGAGATACTGTGCTATTTCGTCCTTTGTGTTTTATTTCGCTTTAATTGAACTTTTACAAAATGAATTTATTACAGAATTATTTTCACCGTAAATTAAGAACCCTCACAATACCCCATGGGAGAACACCGAGCTAATAGGAACAGGAAATAAGGACTACTAATTAATGGACCTCTACCATGATCATTGCTTCTTTGGGATAAAAATGATGAGATTTAGGTCATACATACTATTCCATCCTCTTTAATTATTAAGTTATAAAGATGCATTGAATTTAAATGGATTTATCTTTCAATAGTTAAATTTCTGAAATACAAGTTCCTTCTAAATCCAGGTCATGTAGGTTAAAATCTCTCCATATAGAATCTTCAGAATCTACATAATTTTGAACAGGTAGCACTGTTAGATTATAATATTTTGACTCAAAGATTTTTCTTTTTGGGGGAGAGAACATTTTTGTTTACTTTATAAACATTCACAATACTTATAATTTAGACCTGAGCTTGTTAAATATGTTTAATTTCCAGTCAAATTATTCAAGAATTAGGACAGATTCTTAAAGTCCTTGAAAAGATGACTTATAAACATTTACTTCTAAAAGCAACATCTTTAAGATTTAAAAGATTAAACCAACCCCTCAATCTACATAAGCAAAACTTAAATAGTCCCTGTGGGAATCAAGCGATGGCTAAATGAATCATAATATATTTATTCTCTTTTCACTTTTATGTTTTAATTTTAAGGCAAAACCTCGGTTATATGTGTTGGTTGTATGTGTTTATATTCTCTGGTATGCCTGCAGAGAAATGGTAGCTATGAGTAGGGCCGTCCGTATATAGAGATGGACTTTAATGTATTTGGGGCTAACATTGATTTCGAGTTTTTTTTAAAGTCTTTTCTTTACTCTTTAAGACTAGGACTAAAATACACAGTTTAAGTTGGTTGACAGGTCTCATAGTATCTACAAAGATACCATGACAATTTTGGTCCTCAGTGAAAAACTGTATCATATGGTTACAAGTATGATGTAAACATTTTAAAGTTTAACTGAAATGAAGTGGATAAATAGTTACATTACTGGAACTGTTCTTCTAAATCCATGTGATGAAGGTAACCTTTTTGAACATGGAATCAGCAGAGAAGGTACATCATTTCTAAGTAGCACTCGTAATTTTTTCTTTCTGAAGAAACTTTATGCTTACTGTATAAAAGTTTAGAAAACACACTAAATTCAATTTGTAATTAAACCTTAAAACACTTCTTAAATATGTGGCAATAATAAAGGAACGATTCTTTAAATCCTTGAAAACTAGGTCAAAAGTTCCATTTGGTGAGGTCACTGTTATTCTCCACACTCTTAAACAGCTTAAGATATTTTTCTATCATATTAAACTGGTAGTGTGACTTGACCAATAGCATGATTATAAAAGGAAAATAATCAACCTTTGTTTACCTTGAGTTGTATTGTTCTTAAGAAAGCAATTATTTAAACAGAAGTTATTTTTAAACATGGTTTTATGGATTATATAGTCTAGATTTAACAACTAAGTTAATTTGCTTATTTTTAATGATATAGTAGCAACACTTCTAAGGTCTTGAAGAGTTATATCCTTTATCTAGTCTTTTTTAAAATTTGTATTTTAATTTCAGACTTACAAAAAATATCCAGATTTCCCAATTGTTAATATTTTACTACATGTCCAAATTTACACTCTCTCTCTCAAAACTGTTTTTTCCCCACAACTGAGAATAGGTTGCAGACATTTACCCTTATATACTTCAATGTGTATTTCTTAAAAACAAGGGCATTCTTTTTCATAACCACAATATAGTTATCTAAATCTGAAAATTAACAGTCATGTAATAAAAGTATCAAATTGTAGATTTTACTTAGATATCATTGAATCACCCCAATGACGTCCTTTACAGTAAAATAAAAATACTGATCATATGTTGATTTTAATCGTCATGTCTTTTTAGATTCCTTTTGACTAGAACATTTCCTGGTCTTTATGTTTCTGGACACAATACTTTTGAAGAGTATAGACCAGCTATTTCGTAGGATGTCCATCAATCTGGGTTTGTCCAATGTTTCCTTGTGATTAAAGTTGTGCCTGACTTTTTAAAAAATGAAATTGTATAAGATATGATTTTACAACAACAAATTACATTCCTGTTTTTAGTTCTGAGAATCAATATAATTATTGGTCATATTTGCCTCAAACAGAATACTCAATTTTAGCTTTCCAAAAGAAAAGACTCTCCTAGGAGACTTTATATGTATTTCTTAAAGAACAAACTAAATTTTTCAATAAGGATCTTGTTAGTTTTGATGGTTTATGGAACCACATGGCTTGTTCTAGAATTTACTGAGAAAACAAATACAATGTACAATAATATTGATCTTCTCTCTTCACAGTTACACCTGAATGCCCACAGAAAGGAAGAAACTTTTTCCTCTCCTTAGATGATCTCAAATTCTTATCACAGCTCACAAAATCCTTTCTGGAACTGGAAAAAAATGTTCAAGACTTGTTAGAAGAGATGGTTTTATCACTTAGGATACCCAGGAATACTTCAGGTAACATGCTCTTTTGTTTAAATTTGTAAATCTGTCATCCTCTCTGTTTTTGCTTCCTGACACTGAATCTATTCTATTACTTGAAAAAAAAATGCATGATAGAATTCTTTAAATAAACAAAGTATGAAAGAAACATTAAGAATTAAAGAAAATTATATTAAACCATAGAATTACATTTTATCCTTTAGACATGGCAAATTCCATAACTTTAGCTGACAATGCATCATAAGTCAATTCTGGATAATTGTCTTTAGCTAAAATCAGATCAATTTTTTTTTTTAGTCAAAGCAACATATCCAGACATATGAAAATATAAATTCATTTGTATGCACATATATGTCTATTGTGGATTTTCGAAGGAAACCTCCTTGAACAAAACGGTTACCTTCCTTGA